TCGAACCCACGGACCGCGAGATCGTGACCTGGCTGAAGTCGGACGCTTAACCGACTGCGCCACCCAGGCGCCCCAAGGTTTTCCTGCTTTTTATGTGTAGGTCCGCCAGTTGGTGATGGGTAAGCTGTCATCTGTCTCATTGGATGATTTACCTGTGATAATCAAGTTCATTCTTCATTCTGTAACAGCCACAGATGCACTTGAGGTACGCTTTTATTTCTCAACAAACACCAGCAGGGTGCTAGATCCTTTAGAGTACAGAGTATAGCAGTAATGCCCTTGTGAAACTCAGTAGTAGGAAAGAGACTTATCTAGATTAAGATGCATCAAGATACATTATTTAAACTAATAGTTTTTAATTGCTCTTCTCTGTCCCCAAACTAATTGATAATGCTGATTAATCCAGATAATATTCAGGGGATAGAATGGAAATAGTCAGATTTATTGTTGCATATAAGTTGCTACAGTTTGTATTTGCTATTTCAGTATAATACCTAAAGGAATTCTGAATGGCATAGTTTTGAAGGGCATGACATACTATCCTTGCATTAGCTATTGTCATCAGCTCTCCTTTTCAAGATGTCTTGTCTAAAATTTAGTAATTTTTCTTAGTCTTTCAGGAGATTGTTAGGGTTCTATTGAAGGAATGGACCGTGCCTATCCACTATGAAAGGGCAGAACACATAGCTTAATAATTATTTTCTACAGGTAATTTCTGAGCTGCGGGAGAAGTTGGATCTGCAGCATTTTATTTTGCCATCATGGTTTCATGCCTCACAAAGCAAGTTGAAAAATAAAGGACGACAAAGGTATGTCATCAACACCTCCCACCCTTTTCCTCACACAGTCAAGGAAAGTTTTATGACATTTATCCTGAAGCCAGGACAGTAGATCTGAATACTTGGAACTACAAATACTGGTAGTAATATTGTTGACATGTACTCTACCATACAGTGGTTCAAATCCTGTGTACATGGTACATGTAATGTGTGTGTACATGTATACATGTGTGGGTTGGGTGTATTATTCTAGCTTTTCAAATCAATTCTAGGTAGACTGCAGTACAAATTTATTAGACTGCAGTACAAGTTATTAGCCACAACATGAAGTTGTGCCTTGAAACAGGCAAATGGCTAGTAACAGGAATCCAGATCTTATATGTCTGTCTCTGGTAAGTGGAAGAATGATTTTTCCCCCCCTTTTGCTACTTGTAGTTCTTCAGGAAATCAAGAAAACAGCGGTCAGGACTGTGTTACTCTCTTCTTTGATGTAATAAAGTCGGCTGTTAGATATGAGAAAATCATTTCAGAAGCCTGGATTAAGGTAAGTGAGATCTTGGTGACTTTGAACATTAAGGAGAAAGTAGGTGGCAATCAGTGACAGATATGTAAGTAAAGGTGGAAATAAAAGTGTTAAAAGTCAGTCAAGTAGACCTGATAGAAGATGGTTGCCACATGGGCAGATTGGTTCTCCAATAAGAGAACAGGGCATGCTGAAGAAGGTGAAATGTGTTCTACTTATGTGTTATAATATTTCTGTGACCTTTATTTTTCTAGGCAATTGAAAGCACTGCCTCAGAGTCTGAACACAAGGTAACATTCACATACTATGACTTTTAAGTACTGCAGGCTTGAAATTAATTATCCTAGCTAGTTTTCTTCTTTCCTCTCCCTCTCTCCAGTCATCCCTTCTGTGCCTTCTGTAGCCACTCTAATCAACATTAGCTGTCTGGGGAAGATAATCTGAGGGGATGATTTGCCACATGGTCTTTGCTACTCATTTGGGCAATAAAATAAACCTAAACTATCCATAAGGGAAAATGTTAACATTTCACACATACATGGCAAGTTACAGTCCTAAGAAGCCAAGTCCCCATAGATGAAGTGAAGACAGGACTCACCTGGGGCATGAGTCAGGTCCCTGTATCTATCAGATTACTCTTCCTTTTACCAAATGGCATTGTCAAAATAATGGCATTTGTGTTTTACTTTCCTTTGCTCATGTCACCCTGACCAGAGTGAATCCATCCATTCACTGTCAAGACAGGGGTACTGACTCTGTCTTAAATATGGATTTTTTTTCTTATGTCAAGAAGCCAGGTGATTAAGTTTCTTATGCACTAATTGGTTCCCATTAAGGATTTTTCTTTTAGTTGGAATCTGGTTTGGTGGGGTTTTGTTAGATTATCTAATTGTTGACTTTTAAAAACCTTTATGATACCAAATGAAACAATGAAACTCAATATTTTTTTGTGGAGGTGGGATCAAAATACCCCAACACAACTGTTTTTATTTTATTTCTTTAAGATTATCTTCTTTTTAAGTTTATTTAGTTTGAGGTTGGGAGGGGCAGAGAGAGAGGATCCCTAGCAGTCTCCACACTGTCAGCACAGAGCCCAACGTGGAGCTCAAACCCACAAACTATGAGATCATGACCTGAGCTGAAGTCAGACACTTAACCAACTGAGCCACCAAGATGCCCCAACTGTTTTTATTTTTGCATAACTCTTGGCCACCTGCATACCTGTTTTTACAGATATATAATTATTATATAAATATAATTTTGTATTCTGATTTTCTCTTGACATTATGTCATAAACATTTTATATGCTTGTGCATTGTTTTTATGTCATTTTTAATAGCTGTATTCTAGTATAATGATTCTCAATTTTGCTAAGTGAATTGGGCTTTCAGTGAAGGGATGTTCCAAGTAATTTTTTTTTTAATTAAAACACTTAACCTTTATTAAAATGTCTTTTTTTGAGATATAATTGATATATTTCATTAGTATTAGGTATACAATATAATGATTCAGCATTTGTATTTATTGCAAAATGCTCTCCACAGTCTCGTTAACATCTGTCACCGCATGGTTACAAACTCTTTTCTGATGAGAATACTTAACATCTGTTCTCTCAGCAATATCTATGCAATACGGTATTATTAACTATAGTCATCATGCTATACATTATATCCCCATGACTTATTTATTTTATAACTGGAAATTTGTACCTTTTGATCCCCCTTACCCATTTTTGTTTAAAGATTTTATTTTTAGGGGCACCTGGGGGGCTCAGTCAGTTAAGCATTCGACTCTTGATTTTAGCTCAGGTCGTGATCCTGGAGTCGTGAGATGCAGCCCTGCATTGGGCTGTCTGCTGAGTGTGGAGCCTGTTTGGGATTCTTTCTCTTCCTCTCTGTCCCTTCCATGCTCACTAGAGCATGCACACACTTTGGCACATAAGCTCACATGCTCTCTCAAATTAAACGAATAAACTTAAAAAAAAAGATTTTATTTTTAAGTTATCTCTATGCCTGATGTAGGGCTCAAACTTATAGCCCAGAGATCAAGAGTTGCACTCTACAGACTGAGCCATTCTGTTGCCCTTTCCCTTCACCCATTTTGCCTCACCTTCTACTTCTGGCAACCACCAATCTGTTCTGTCAATGAACTTGGTTTTTTGTGTGTTTTGTTATTTATGAGATCATAAGGTATTTGTCTTGCTGTCTGACTTATTTCACTTGGCAGAATGCCCTCAAGATCTGTTCATATTGGGGCATCTGGGTGGCTCAGTCATTTAAGCGTCCACCTCTTGATCTTGGCTCTGGTCATGATCTCACCGTTGGTGAGTCTGAGCCCTGTGTCAGGCTACACACTGTCAGTGCAGAGCCTGCTTGGGATTCTCTCTCTCCCTCTCTCACTGTCCCTCCCCCGCTCAAAATAAATAAATCAACTTAAAAAAAATTCTGTCCATGTTGTTGTAAATGGCAAGATTTCATTCATTTTATGGCTGAATAGTATTCCAGTGTGTGTTTATGTGTGTACATATGTGTACATACCACATTTTGTTTTTCCACTCATCCATCAGTGGACACTTAGGTTGCTTCCATGTCTTGTGCAGGGATCATGGAGTGCAGATAATCTTGTCGAATTAGTACTTTCGGTTTTTTGCTTTTTTTTTTTATGTTTATTTATTTTGGAGAGAGAGAGAGGCAGAGTGTGAGCAGGGGAGGGGCAGAGAGAGAGAGGGAGGCACAGAATCCAAAGCAGGCTCCAGGCTCTAGGCTCTGAGTCCGACATGAGATCGAACCATGAGATCATGAGCCCGATTCACGAACCATGAGATCATGACCCGAACCAGAGTCAGATGCTTAACTGACTGAGCCACCTAGGCGCCCCTAGTACTTTTGGTTTTTTGAATAAATACCCAGAAGTAGAATTTCTGGATTGTATACTTCTATTTTTAATTTTTTAAGGAACCTCCATACTTTTTCCACAACGGCTGTACCACTCATATTCCACCAGCAGTACACAAAGGTTCTCTTTCTCTGCATCCTTGCCAACATTTGTTATCTCTTGTCTTTTTAGTGATAGCCATTCTGACAAGTGTGAGATGATACTTCATTGTGGTTTTGATTTGCATTTGCCTGATGACTAGTGATGTTGAGCATCTTTTCTTGTGTCTGTTGGCCATTAGTATGTCTTGAAAAAATGTCTGTCCACATCCTCAGTATATCTTTTGATTGATCTTTTGCTCTTGAGTTGTAGGAGATTTTTTTTGGCCTGCTTGACTTTTGTAACCTTTTTTTTTTTTTTTAAGTAATCTCTACATCCAATGTGAGGCTTGAACTCACAAGTTCAAGACCATGAGTTACTTACTTTTCTAAATTTTGGCTGAAATCAGGGCTGGGGTTATCAGGCAGTTTTCGTAGTACAGAAAGAGCAGTTTGGCGTCCCATAAGCAGTTTTTAAAAACCCTGAGCATAACAGGACCAGAAGAATGCTAATAAAGACATAATTAGGCATCTTTTGAACCATCACTATTTGGCCATTCAAGTGTTGTGACCCTTGGGTGATTATTCCTGTTGAAATAACCTTTCGAATTGGAATTTTATAAGCTAGGAATGGTGTTTCTAGGTGAATTTTTAGGATATTAGAGGGGCCAGGTGCCTCTTTAACCCTTTTTTTTATTTTTATTTTTTTTATTTTTTTTTTTTTATTTTTATTTTTTTTAAATTTTTTTTTCAACGTTATTTATTTGGGACAGAGAGAGACAGAGCATACGGAACGGGTAGGGGCAGAGAGAGACACAGAATCGAAACAGGGCTCCAGGTCTCTGAGAATGCCAGAGCCGACACGGGGCTCGAACTCACGGACTCCAACGCGGATCTGGGACCTGGCTGAAGTGGGGCCTAACGACGCTGAACTTCTACTTACCCGAAGCGCCACCACTTACCTTTTTTTTTTATTTTAAACAAAGTTAATTCAAGCTAATTGGGGGAAAAAAACTGGGGAGAATCTAAAAATGTTAAAAATAAAGTTTCCATGGGACACCTGGCTGGCTCAGTTGGTTAAGTGTCCGACTCGTTTTCAGGTATGGTCACGATCTCGTGATTTGTGAGTTCAAGCCCCTGGTCAGGCTATGTTCTGACAGCATGGATCCTACTTAGTATTCACTCTCTCCCTACCCCCTGCCCCTGCTTGTTTGCATGCTCATTCTCTTTTGAAAAAAATAAATAAAATAAAGTTTCTCTTTACTGTCTGTTCATTCTTCTTGTATAATTACTCTTAGAGATTATTTCCTATTTATATACAAGGTGTATTTGTGTGTGAGTGCAGGTATGACTTTGAACCTCACATTGGGCTCTGTGCTGACAGCTCGGATCCTGGAGCCATCTTCAGATTCTGTGTCTCTGTCTCTCTCTGCCCCTCCCCAACTCACATTCTGTCTCTCTCAAAAATAAATATTTAAAAAGTTAAAAAAAAAAAAAGAAAAATCCTTTTATGGTTATTGTCTTGCAGGTTGCTTTTTTTAAAACTTTACAATGTCATGAATATCTGTCAAAAAATATAGTATACCTTGTTCTTAATGGCTGCATAATATTCTGACTTTAATTTTTTAAATTTAAGAATTGAAATAAATTTTTTTAATGTTTATTTTTGAGAGAGAGAGAGAGACATGAGTTGGGGAGGGGCAGAGAGAGAGGGAGACACAGAATTTGAAGCAAGCAAGCTCCAGGCTCTGAGCTGTCAGCACAGAGCCCGATGCAGGGCTCCAACCCACATACCATGAGATCATGACCTGCGCCGAAGTTGGATGCTTAACCAGCTGAACCACCCATGTGCCCCAAGAATTTAAATTTAAGAAAAGAATTTAATTTTTTTCATATTTACAGGCATTTACAGTCTCTCCAAATTTTGAGAAAGTATTTTTCTAATAATGAAATATATACCGAGGTTGGCTAGTGATTGTTCCTTAATGTGAAGATATTCAAGGTTATTTCTGTAATAATATCACTTCAACTTACATTCCAATGATTTCATAAAAGATACCAGTGGTTAATAATTGTGGCAGTTATTTCTCTGAAAAATATTTGTGGGTTTTGTGAGGAAAAGAAATGTGGATACTCCTATGGAGTATGTTGAACAAATGAGTATCACCCATTTTCTGTTTTCATGGGGAAAAGTTGAGAGCTACTATTTTATGGAAATAGATGTACTGATACATTAAACTATTTCTCTTCTGTCATTGACAATAGATTTTCGACATGGCAATACTTTTCATCATCTATAGCACCAATACTCAGGTAAAGAAGTATGTTGAGAGGGTGCTAAGAAATAAGATTCGATCAGGCTGCTTTGAAGAACAGCTGCTACAGAGTACATTCTATATTCATTACATGGTAAGTATCAGAGAATCAGACATTAGTCTGAAAGTTACAGAGAAGTCATATTTAACCTTTCCTTTCCAGTGTGGGAATCCTGACAATACCACCTTTCCTGGATCTTCATCTTGGACAGCTCAATATATTGCAAAACATAGTAGGGTTATTACTTACCTTGATTGAGACAATACGATGTTAATAAAACCAACCTAAGACTGGTGTCCCATCTTTTTAGGAAAAATGTCACAAAACTGGTTCATGTTGAACTTCTTAAACTCAAGCTCCAAATTCTGTTTTATAGGAAATGTTTTAGTTCAAGTCTTCTTTTTTTTTTTTTTAATGCTTATTTATTTTTGAGAGAGAGAGAGAAACAGAGTATGAGTGGAGAGGGTAGAGAGAGAGGAAGACATAGAATCCGAAGCAGGCGCCAGGCTCTGGGCTGTTAGCACAGAGCCTGACGTGGGGCTCAACTCTCAAACCATGTGATCATGACCTGAGCTGAAGTTGGAAGCTTAACTGACTGAGCCACCCAGGCTCTCCTTAGTTCAAGTCTTCTAATTACATACTTCTATAACTTGATTTTTCACCTGCAATGGAAGGCTTTACAGCTCCTATATAAAAATTTCATCTTGTTTCAGCCCATTGTTCAAGTGGATTGAGACTTTTGAATCTTAACTTTGCATTAAACATTTTAATTATCTAGCTCTTTGTGATCTGTAGCTTTGACAAACTTGCCTTCTGTATCCTGTTCTAAGCAGTTTTTAAATGTTTATATATTTTTGGGGAGAGAGCAGGGTAGAGAGAGAATCCCAAGCAGGCTCTACTCTGTCAGTGAAGAGCCTAGTCTGGGGCTTGAACTCACGAACTGTGAGATCATGACCTGAGCCGAAGTCAGGAGTCAGAGGCTTAACCAACTGAGCCACCCAGGCACCCCATAAGCAGTTTTTAAAAACCCTGAGTATAACAGGACCAAAGGAATGCTAATAGAGACATAATTCTGCAACTCTTAAACCATCACTATTTGGCCATTCAGTAAAGTGACCCTTGGGTGATTATTCCTGTTGAAATAAAAACCTTTTGAATTGGAAATTCAAACTAGGAATGGTGTTTCTAGGTGAATTTTCAGTATATAAACAGTGTATACCTTTTTAGGAAACTGGGTACCCAGTGGTTTATGGCTTAGGAACTAATGAGAATATGCAGTTGAGTTTTAAAATTGTATATTTAGGGGGCACCTGGGTGGCTCAGTCGGTTAAGTGGCTGACTTCGACTCAGGTCATGATCTCACTGTCCGTGAGTTCGAGCCCCGTGTCGGGCTCTGTGCTGACAGCTCAGAGCCTGGAGCCTGTTTCAGATTCTGTGTCTCCCTCTCTCTGACCCTCCCCCATTCATGCTCTGTCTCTCTCTGTCTCAAAAATAAGTAAACATTAAAAAAATATATATTGTATATTTAAGACTGGATTTAGTGTTTGTGTTATCTTATAGTCCTTTCTGTGCTTATTTCTGGCAACGATACGTGTTTTGGGCTATGGTTTTCTAGAAGGCAGAAACCATAAGTAATTTTTTATTGCATTTTCTTCAGCAAAGTATTACACCCAATTCAGTGCTTAATTTAAGGTTTGTTTTTTTTTTGTTTTTTTTTTTTTTGGTATTGTGATGGTATCAGTAAAGAAGCTAGACCTAAACTGGTTATATTTACTTTGGGTCCATTAATGTTCATTTTCTGCCTTATTGGTGAGACATGATCAGTTCTCTTTTTGATCTTCTTTAAAAGAAATCGGTTTAATTAATTAGTATTGAACCTTATATTTTGATTTCAAATCATAACCGTGGCAGAATAGGCCTAGGGAGGCAGTATGATTGAGTGAGGAAATTGGGATTTAGAATATCTGGATTCTAGTCTCAAATTGGGCAGATAGGAACAATGCTGTTAGGCTTATAATTTAACTTCTTTGAGCTTCCAGGTTAATTCTTATCCATATGGCAAATCCCACCAATCCTGAGAGAAGACTCAATGATGAAGGATAATTTTGAGTAAAACAAAGGTTAAGTTCCTTAAGTTAAAGTGAGAGTTGGTCAGGAGAACTCTGACATCCTATAAGGGTTGGCAGCTCTTGGTTCTGTGTTAACTAAATGCCTCCCACAGCTTCTTTTTTTCTCTCTTCTTTCCCCCTTAAGGTCCTTAAGGATATTTGTCCATCCATTCTGTCGCTGGCTCAGAGTTTCGTGCACTCCCTAGACCAGAGTATCATTTTGTTTGGCAGTCTCCTCTACAAATATGCATTTAATTTTTTTGACACTTACTGCCAGCAGGTATGTTGAAATATTTATCTTGGAAAGGAGGGAACGGAACAGGAAGAAATGCAGTTCCAAGTGATTTGCATGTGATATGTTTCTTTCTTTCTTTTTTTTTTAATGTTTATTTTTGAGAGAGAGAGAGAGAGAGAGAGAGAGCATGAGCAGGGGAGGGGCAGAGCGAGTGGGAGACACAGAATCCAAAGCAGGCTTCAGGCTCTGAGCTGTCAGCACAGAGCCCGACATGGAGCTCCAACTCGGGAACTGCGAGATCATGATCTGAGCCAAAGTCGGACGCTCAACTGACTGAGCCACCCAGCTGCCCCTCGTGTCTATTTCTTGCTGGTTGGAAGGCACTGATGTAGAAAGAATTCTGAACTGGGAGTTGGGAAAACTAAGTTGTAGTCTACTTTCAATAAAGTGAAGAGACTGGACTAGAAGATCTAACTCTGCGTTTTGAGCTCTAAAATTCTCTGGGTTAAAATGAACATCCCATCTAGTCTATTTCTGAGTAAACCTTGGCTGAAAGGGCTAGGGTTATCAGGCAGTTTTTATAGTACAGAAAGACCAGTTTTAAAACTTAGCTGCAAATAATCAGCTGCCAGTTGATCCTGAAGTTGTTCTCTAGAAAAAACTGTGATGAAAAACAAATGAAGGAGAAATAACTGAGGACATAATCCTATTCCTACGAACATGAGACACAAAATTTAATAGCACATGTGTAGAGAGGGAAGACTGTACTTGTGGAAAGTTGGAAAGTGATTATGAAAACAAAGAACAGAGTGCCTTAATGTGCATTTTTTGTACTTGCTATACTTAACTGTTAACAATGTTATAACATTTGAATTGAACTTGTAAAAACAAAGAATTTTGAGAATCTTAAAGCAGAGCAGTAGATTCAGCTGGCATGAGCTAGCTTCTGCAGTTGAGAAAACTGTATGCCTCTGTGGAGCAGTAGTATAAAGGAAAGGGAGGTATTTTGTTTGGAACCATCTTAATGTCTTAGAGATACTATCATGACCCATGGGTGCTTGAAACATACAAGTCTAACCTATAGTAATCTTAAAATCCTTTAGCTCTTTGAATTCCATCTTTTTTTTAAGATTTTTTTTTAGTTTTTAAAATTTTTTAAGGTTTATTCTTAAGAAAGAGAGGGCAAGACAGAGAGTGAGCAGGGGAGGGGCAGAGAGAGACGGAGACACAGAATCCGAAGCAGGCTCCAGGCTCTGAGTTGTTAGCACAGAGTCTGATATGGGGCTTGAACTCATGAGCTGTGAGATCATGACCTGAGCCGAAGTTGGACACTTAATGACTAAGCCCCCCAGGCGCCCATAATATTTTATTTTTAAGTAATCTCTATACTTGACATGGATTTTGAACCCACAACTACAAGATCAAAAGTCACATGCTCCTCCAACTGAGCCAGTCAGGTGCCCTAAGTTCCATCTTTTTAATACATTTTAATAGATACAACCATAGCTTAAAGTGTAGTATTTAACCCGTATGAGAAAAGAAAGGGAAAGACTTCCAGGGAACAAAATCAGGAGGGCTTAGATGATGCTCACAGATAAATTTTGAGAAATAAGTCAAGAGTAGATGGTACTATAGTTAGATTGGCATAATCCTAAACCTCTGAATCCAACATGAATGAAAATTACATTATAGAATTAGACAACAGGATAGGGTAGGTTGGGATTTTCACCAAGTGGAGATTGGAGTGATATCAGGCATCAACCTGAGTCATAATGGTTTCAGTCATATTTTTATCCACACTGTTTCTTGACTCTACTCTGTAGGAAGTGGTTGGTGCCCTAGTGACCCATATCTGCAGTGGGAATGAAGTTGAAGTGGATACTGCTTTGGATGTCCTCCTAGAGTTGGTAGTTCTAAATCTATCTGCTATGAGGCTGAATGCCATCTTTGTGAAGGTATCTAGTCCCTCTGGTGACATATATTGAGTCGTTTTTCTTTCTTGCATGTATCTGAGAGTTATCTGGAATCCATTAGTAACAATTTAATTTGTATTCTAGCTATTAAGTGCTGTGATTGGTAGGAGGGGATGGGAAAGAGATGAGGTGATGGGCAAATAATAGAAAGAAATGACTCATTTATGTATGTATGAATGCTTTCAGCAGATACTTCTTTATGCCTGTGTGCAGGCTTTATTCTGGGTGCTCTGTATATAAAGCTTAGTTCTTGCCTTTGGTGATAGTAGAACTATGTCCATAAGCAAGTCACTGTAAATACAACATGAGAGATCTCTAGAAAGATGAAGTGCTACAGATATACTTGGCAAGAAAATTAACTTGGCCTGGGAAACTGGGTATTTCTTCAATGAATAGATTTCAGTCATTCTTGAAGGTTGGGAATGATTTGATAGGAGAAAGTAAAGGAAGTGCATGTAGGCAGAGGACAGTTCAAACAGAAGCAAACTGGCGCCCAGGTCTTTGGTATACATGAAGGATGACAAGTAGACTAACATGGTTGGCAAATGGGATAAATGGTGAGGGGTGTTGGGAGGTGAGGCTGGGAAGACACAGGATAGGGCCAGATTATGAAGAGTCTCGAATACCACACTGAAGAGTTTCAGCTTTTTTTTTTTTTTTTTAAAGTTTATTTTTGAGAGCAAAAGAGCATGAGTCGGGTAGGGGCAGAGAGAGAAGGAGAGAGAATTCCAAGCAAGCTCTCCGCTATCAATGCAGAGCCTGACATGGGGCTTGAGCTCAAGAACTGTGAGATCATGACCTGAGCTGAAATCAAGAGTTGGATGCCTGACTGACTGAGCCACCCAGGCGCCCCTAAAGAGTTTCAACCTTATTTTATAGACCATAGAGAGCTATTACAGGCTTTTAACCAAGGAGTTGACATAATTGCGTCTGGGCTTTGAAAGGTAACTATGTAGGCCTTGTTATCCCCATATTAGGGATGATAAAACTGAAGTTTTGCCCAAGGTCAAAAAGTAATTAGTTTCCTTGTGACTCCTTCCACATCTGTAGAGAATGAATAAGTAATTCATGGAGTGGAAGCTGATAAGGAATAGGGTCAGAGATATAACTTGTGGCAGAGTATTGTTTTCACTGAGAAGAAGGGAAGGGTGGAGAGAGTAGGGAGAACTAGGAGGTATGTTAGGATGACTAACCCTTTGGGCTCTGAGCAGCTTGATAGAACTTGAGCTTTTGTGGAATGGATACCTGGCTATCTGTCTATGCTTCTTATAAGGATTTTAATTTTTTTATTTAAAGGAAGAAAATATTAGTTGCTGGCCTTATTGTTGGCATTTTTTTTTCTCACAGGGCATTTTAGATTATCTGGATAATATGTCCCCTCGGCAGATACGAAAACTCTTCTATATTCTGAGCACACTGGCATTTAGCAAACAGCATGAAGCCAGCAGTCACATCCAGGTAACATGCAGTGTATTGAGAAACCTTTAAGCCTTTAAACTTATTGAATTGAAATTCACTAACCAAAATCACTCCAGCCTGTGTACTAATAGAAATCAAGTACACAGCCATAGTTTGAGCACTTACTCATTCTTTTCTTACCACAAACATTATATGCCTACTGTGAACTAAGCACTGAAATGGTAAGTATATTAGAATTTCTACCCTCAAGTAGCTCAGTCTATTAGGGTCTGTAATCAGCTGACCGTGGAACTAACAAAAGCCATTCAGGTTCTGTACTGAGTGCTGTGGGGACACAGAATTACCTTGTTTCCTAGGGAGCATCTGCTTCTAACGTGAACGTCACCTGGGCTTGCTTTCGTTTGTGGACCCCATTTACTGAGAAAGGCAGGCAAAGGGACTAAAACTAGAGATTAGGTTGCAGTCATAGCTCATAGCTCTTTTGTACCGTTAGTGCCACCCCGTGGCAATATCCATACTGGACTGTGACTTTGAACAACCAACACTTTTTGTTAATTAAAAAAAAAAAAAGGCTAGGTAATATACATACATAAATTCAAAAGGTATAGAAAGTGGTGAAAAATAAGTCTCCTTTCCTCTCAGTCCTCTAAGCATTTGGTTCTCTAAAGGCAATTGCTGTTATTAGTTTATAGCTTTCTGAGATGTCCGAGCATTTACAAATGTGTTTTTACCTATATTCCACTTTTTACCCTTTTGTTCTGCATCTTACTGTTTTCATTTAGCTGTATATTTTGGAGATGGCTTCACATGAGTAATGTAGAGCTACATCATTATTTTATTTTTTAATGGTGGTTAAAACATGCATAGCAAATTTTACTATTTTAACCATTTTTAAGTGTACAATTCAGTGGCATTAAGTTCATTAAGAATGTTGTGCAACTGTCACCACTGTCTCTATCCAGAACTTTTTGTCATTCCGAACAGAAACCCTACCCATTAAGCAGTAACTCCTCATTTTCTTTCCTCCAGCCCCTCATTACCTCTAATCTACTTCCTGTATCTGAATTTGTCTGTTCTGGGTACCTAATTGAAATAGTCATATCATATTTCTCCTTTTATTTCACTTAGCGTAATCTGTTCAAGGTTCGTCCATGGTGTAAGATATATCAAACCATTCCTTTTCATGGCTAAATAGTGTTCCATTGTATATATGTAGAACATTTAGTTTGTGCATTTATTTCTTGATGGACACTAGCCTTTTTTCACCTTTTGGCTATTGTGAATAATGCAGCAATGAATATTGGTATAAAAATATCTTTTTGAGTCCCTATTTTAAATTCTTTGGGGTATATACCTAGGAGTGGAGTTGATGAGTCATATATTCATTCTGTATTCAGCATTTGGAGGAACTACCAAACCATTTTCTACAAAAGCTGTACCATTTTTCATTCCCGTGAACAGTTGGGGATTCCATGGTTGTATATCCTCACCAACACTTATTTTCCATTTTTAAAAAATTTTTATTTTTGAGAGAGACCACACATGCGAGGGGTTGGTGAGGGGCAGAGAGAGAAGGAGACAGAATCCAAAACAGGCTCCACGCTATTAGCGCAAAGCCTGATGTGAGACTCAAACCCAGGAACTACAAGATCATGACCTGAGCCAAAGTCAGACACTCAGCCTACTGAGCCACCCAGGCACCCCACTTATTTTCCATTTTGTAATAATAACCATCCTACTGGGTGTGAAATGGTATCTCAGATGGTTGATATGGTATGACAGACAAATGGTTGTCTTGATTTGCATTTCCTTAATGACTGATAATTTTGAACATCTTTTTTTTTTTTTTTTTTTTTTTTTTTTTTTTTTAATGTTCATTTTGAGAAAGAGTGCAAGTGGGGGAGGGGCAGAGAGCAAGAAAGAATCCCAAGCAGGCTCCACGCTTAACATGGAGCCTGATGCAGGACTCAATCCTATAACTCTGGGATCATGACCTGAGCTGAAATCAAGAGTCAGACACTGAACCAACTGGACTGCCTAGGCACTCCTAAATGGTCTGTCTTTTGTTGTTGACGCATAGGAATTCTGTATATTTCCTGGGTATTGTCCCTTATCAGATACATGATTTGCAAATATTTTTTCCCATTCTGTGGATTATCTTTTTACTCTTGATAGTGTCCTTTGATGGAGTTTTGATGAAGTCCCAATTTATGTGTTTTTTCTTTTTGCCTGTGCTTTTGGTGTCATACTTAGGAAAAACTGTTCCCAAATTCAAGGTCATAAAGATTTTCCCCTGTGTTTTCTTTTTCTTTTTCTTTTTTTTCCCCCCTCTGTGTTTTTTGCTGAGAGTCTTATAGTTTTAGCTCTTAAATTTATATAGTTGATTCACTTTTAGTTAATTTTTGTATGTGGTATAAGGAAAGGTTCAGTTTTGTTTTTTGTGTTTGTGGGTATCCAGTTTTTTCAGCGCCTGTTCTGTGTGTGTGTGTGTGTGTGTGTGTGTGTGTGTGTGTGTGTGTGTTTTAACACCTTTTATTGAAAAGACTGTCCTTTCCCTTTGAATGGTCTTAGCACCTTTGCAGAAAATCAGTTGACCATATATGACCAAATAAGGTTTATTTATGGACCCTGTTCTAGCCATTAGTGTGTATGGGCTTCCTGTGCAAGTAGCACACTATTTTGATTACTGTAGCATTGTAGTAATTTTGAAATTGAAAGATTGTATGTGTAATTTCAAAACTGAAAATTTATTTTCTTTGGGGTGCCTAGGTGGCTTAGGTCATGATCTCATAGTTCATGAGTTTGAACTTCACGTCAGGCTCTGCACTGACAACTCAGAGCCTAGAGCCTGCTTTAGATTCTGTGTCTCCCTCTCTTTGCCCCTCCGTTGCTTGTGCTTGCTCTCTGTCTCCCTCTCTCACACTCAAAAATATTAAAAAAAGAAAAATTTTTTTTGTTTTCAAAATTGAAATTTGACAGAACAGGGGTGCCTGGGTGGCGCAGTCGGTTAAGCGTCCGACTTCAGCCAGGTCACGATCTCGCGGTCCGGGAGTTCGAGCCCCGCGTCAGGCTCTGGGCTGATGGCTCGGAGCCTGGAGCCTGTTTCCGATTCTGTGTCTCCCTCTCTCTCTGCCCCTCCCCCGTTCATGCTGTGTCTCTCTCTGTCCCAAAAATAAACGTTGAAAAAAAAAATTAAAAAAAAAAAAAAGAAATTTGACAGAACAAATTTGTTCTTTTTCAAAATTGTTTTGGTTATTTGGGGTCCCTTAAAGTTCTGTATGAATCTTAGCATGGGTTTTTCTATATCTGCAAAAAATTCTATTGGGATTTTAATAAGGATTACAATGAATGTGCATGTCACTGTGAGTACTGTCATTATCTTAGCAATATTAAGTCTTCCAATTAATGCACATGGGATATCTTTCCATTTATTTAGGTCTTCTTTAATATCTTTCATTGTTGTTTTATAGTTTTTAATGTACAAGTCTTTTGCCTCCTTGGTTAAATTACTCCTAAGTATTTTTTTTTCTATTTCATTATTTTAGCTGAGCAGACAACAACATTACAATAATATAATATCCTTATCAAGCAACTATCACAACATTAATAATAGCTATAATCTTTGAACATCTGCCTTATTTTTGACATTGTTCTAGGACAGTTTTGTAATTTGTCTCTCATAAAATCTTCCCCATTTTATAGATGGAAAAAAATTGAGACTCAGATGCAGTGACTTGCCAAGAGCCACACAGTAAATGATAGAACCCTTGCCATTTTAGCTATTTTGGTTCCAATATCCACAGGCTCTTTTGCTGTACTATTCTAGCATTTTCATCTTTCTTTATCATATCTCCTTGCAGGATGATATGCACCTGGTGATACGAAAGCAGCTCTCTAGCACCATAGTCAGATACAAACTCATTGGTATTATTGGTGCTGTCACCATGGCTGGCATCATGGCGGCAGAGAGGTATGCATGGAAATTCTGACTTCTGTGGCTCAAAGTCAGTTAATTAAGTTGCCACCTTACAAATAAAGTGTACGTTGTGTAGGCAAAAGTGTTTACACAAGTAAATATTAAAACCGTAATAAGAGAAGTAAGCAAGTATTTATTGGAACTTTTCTATTTTCCCTTCTAATCTTGACTCTATATACTAATATAATTTTTTACAGAATGTGATTATAGTTATTACAATATGATGGTTAAAAACTAGGGATTACCAAGAAATAAAGTTCTAGAAATATTTCTACAAAAGGGGAACCCTGAGCCTCCTGGGATGCATTTTTCTGCATTTACGCCACCTAGGCACTAGACATTATAGGTTTCTCCATTGCTGTGTTTTTCTGTCTGGGACATCGTGTTTGATGCAAATAAGGTCTTTCTATAGATTTTTTTTTTCCCCTCTTGTACTTTGATGCCACAATTGTAGCACCTAAAGGAGCATCTGTATTGGGTCTTGATAAGATGTTGCCATTGCAAAATGACTTTGGAATTCCGTTTATGCTTCTTAGAGATAATTTGTTAAGGAATTCCTGGGACCTCAGGAGACATCCTTAGAATCAACATTAGTAATTCATGGAGGCTACATAGTGTACTGATTAAGAGTTCATTCATTGGAGCCATACTGCTTGAGAGCACCAAATGCTTAGAATAATGCCCAGTGCTCATTCTTATGATTATTACTAATTTAATGTGCCATTAAAAAAAAATTAAGGTAGCCATTATCTGCTCTAATCCACATTTTGTATATAAATAGTTCTGTGCCTTCATGTACTTTTATCTCCACTCACATTGCAGGGATGGCAGGACTCATAAACTTATTGCCAGTCCTTAAAAAAACAAAAAAAGCAAAAACAAAAAAACTTATTGCCAGTTCTTACAAAATATTACAGAAGTGAACCTAAAATGCCTTGTTTTTAGAACTAGATCTTCAAGTTTGACCCAAGGGAGAACAGACGTGAGCAGTGAACAGTACACGCAGGTGAGTTCTTGTAATGTATTTGGGTATGTATATGGGTAACTGAGGAGTTGCTTCTGGTCGCTGGCAGTTTACCAAAAAGACTTCTTTTTTTTTCCCTCCCCAAATCTGTTTTCTTGAATTCATAGCTTTTGTGATTTGTACCACTACTGTGGCACCTAGAATCTACTGGTGTGGATTACATTTATTTCTGTATCTAATCTCCTTAATTAAATTGTAAATTCCTAGAGCGCGAGAACAGTGAGCCATGTTTGCAGAATAGCAGATTGACTGGAGCATAGGGACAAGTAAATGTAAAATTGGAGAGTTGGAGATAAAGCTAGTCCAGAGGTAGAAAACAGAGGGCCTGGAATGTGCAAATCAAGGCATTTTGATGTAATTTTTTACACAGAGGTATTCTTTAAAGGTTTCTTAGCACAGACATGGCATAATCAAAGCTTTGCTTTAGAAAAATTAATCTGGCTGTGGGTGTCTGATGGATTGGAAAAGAGATGAGTTTAGAAACAGATGGGCTGGTCAGGAAGGTCAGGAAAACCTCAGGTGAGAGGTAGTAAGAGCTTTGCCAGTGATACTGGAAGGAAAAACTACTGTTTGGGGTGAACAGTGTTTAGGAAGTGTTGGCAGCCCAGTTGCTGAACCATTCTTTCTCTTTGGCTGCTCCAGGTGACCTCGTTGCTGCAGTTGGTTCATTCCTGCAGTAAGCAGTCTCCCCAGGCGTCCGCACTGTATTATGATGAATTTGCTACTCTGATCCAAAGAGGAAATCTGGCTCCAAAAGCCTTGGTAAGGCCAAGTATCTTTTAAAGTAGTGAAGCATGAGGGCTGCTTTACTCCGTATTCTTTCTTCAAGCCCTTCTGTCTGTTGCAGTGCAAAAATAGATCATCCTGGGGTGCCTGCGTGGCTCAGTCGGTTAAGCGTCTGACTTCGGGTCAGGTCATGATCTCGCAGTTTGTGGGTTCAAGCTCCACATCAGGCTTTCTGCTGTCAGCATGGAGCCTGCTTCAGATCCTCTGTCCCTCTCTCTCTCTGCCTCTTACCCTACTCACGCATACACGCGTGCTCTCTCAAAAATAAATAAACTTAAAAAAAAAATAGGTCATCCTGAGAGCTTTCCCATATTCTAGTTGGGAAAGCCCTTCCATAGGCCTCACCTCTAAGGCCTCCTTTACATAGTAACAATAATAATAGCAAAGATGAGGTTGGTGATAATATTGTTGATAATGTTGATAGCCGCCATGTTTTCTGTGCCAGGCACCGTGTTAAGCATTTTTCATGTATTATATGTTTTCCGCTTGATAATAATGGGGTACATATTATTGCTATTTCCTCCTTAGAAATGACGAAACTAAAGCTTAGAAAGAGTAATAGTTTTTCTAGGGATCTATAGCAAGTACCTCCTGGGCTGTATGCCTTTTTTGTTTGTTTGCTTCCTGAAGGAATGGGTTGGGCAGACCATCTTTAATGATTTCCAAGATGCCTTTGTGGTGGACTTCTGTGCTTTTCCAGAAGGGTAAGTACTGTTTACCCACTAACTTGATTGTACTGGTGAAGAAATTATGTCGATGGATGGTACAGACTTGAGAATGCTCTTGACCTCAGCCAAGTCTGGCCCAATCCCATAGTTTCTTTCCTCCCAGCCCCAACACCCCAGCTCCAGAGTTGCTCAAAGCTTCCCCACTTGTTCTTTTTGTTTCTCACTTCTCCTCAGAGAAGTTCTCTTCCTAAGAGAGAAGATTGGTTTGTTTTAGTAATTTCCCCCGTAGACTTGTATACCCTTGGGGCATCAAATTCTGGGTTCTCTTTACAGTGACTATCCATTTCCTGTGAAAGCTCTCTATGGACTAGAAGAATACAGTAGTCGTGATGGGATCGCCATCAACCTCCTGCCACTGTTGTACTCTCAGGACTTTGCAAAAGATGGGGGTAGAATGACTTCACAGGAATCAGACCAAAAGTCAGTGTACTTTTTCTTTAACTTCTGTTACTGTTTTGAATGTTCACGGGATATTCCACACTTGTTGCAATCTTTTGGGAACTTGATGGAAAAGAGTTTCTCCTAAAATAGGTGATATTTATAGGGGTTAGCAGGAGTGTGGCAGTTTCCTTGTTTTTTCTTAGTCCCTGTGGTTGGGGTCTGCATTGCCTAATGACAGCCAACAGGTACTCTGTGAGGCTATTTTCATTTGTTTCTTTCTCCCACCTGTGAACATACTTGTTTCCCTCCCTCCTTCCATTTTATCTCTGCTTCTCCTGACTCATGGACATTCACTCTATTCAGCCTCTGTCTTCCTCCAGTTTAGTTCATTGTTTATTTACTGAGCACCCATTAAGCTTTTGTCATATGTTCTAAAAAGTAGACATTTATTTTGGGCAAAACGCTTTAATTATAAGGTGGGGTTCTTTATAAACATGGATTAATATGCCTATAAAATATTGTTTAGAAATGGATTTTTCCTTCCCAGATTGGTGTCTCCGTTGTGCCTGGCTCCCTATTTCCGGTTACTGAGGCTTTGTGTGGAGAAACAACATAATGGAAGCTTGGAGGAGATTGATGGTTTATTAGGTATAGGATGAAGTTATCAGATCCTTTCTTCTTTGTAACCTTTCTCTGTAATCTTAGGGAGGGAGCAAACCAGTACATGGTGTGTAGGGGAAGGAATTTTTGAACTTCACAAAGTAAAATAGCACTAATAATGAAACTGCAAAGATGATATATAAAGATTCCCATCATATTGACAGATCAATCATCATCATAGTTCCTTGTTGCTTTCTGGTCCTTGCATCTAATTTTGTAAAAACTTCTTCATGATATTAAAGATGGCTACATACTAAGGCAGTAATTTTGAGACTACCCAAAGCTTCACCCTCAAATATAAAGGGGAAAGTAAGTATAGGAGATGTAACTCTAGGGGTAGCATCCAGGTTCTGTTGACGCGAAATAAAGGGAGTTAAAAATGTTTGTTCTCTTTCAGATTGTCCTATATTCCTCACTGACTTGGAGCCTGGAGAGAGGTTGACATCCATGTCTTTTAAAGAGCACTCATTCATGTGTTCACTCATGTTTCTTACTCTCAACTGGTTCCGAGAGGTAAACATAGTTACTGGGAATTTCACCTATTGTCTATAATTCTTCTTGAAAGGAAACTATTTCCTGGTTCTCATGGGACTCTCTACAGAAGCGCCTGGCTGGTTCAGCTGGTTCAGTGGGTAGAGGCTATAACTCTTGATCTCAGGGGGGTCATGAGTTCAAGCCCCACATTGGGCATGGAGCCTACTTAAAAAGAAAAAATTACTAGCACTAACCCCTGTGTGCTTCTCCAGCTGTTATGTCCCACTTTTCCCCAATTACATGTACCTTTTGATGTAGCCAAATCAAAATACTTAGAATTCACTTAATAAGTTGTTCATGCTTTACTACTACAAGCCTTTTTGTTGTATTCTTCCTTTTGCCTGGAATAACCTCACCTTCTTCACTGAAAATACTGTTCACCCTTGCATAGATACGTACTTAATGTTTTAATTCAGTGAGATCAAGTGAGTGATGGTTTTCCCCTTCCTTTAGAATATGTTTTGGGGGTGCCTGGGTGGCTCAGTCAGTTGAACGTCCAACTTCGGCTCAGGTCATGATCTCGCAGTCTGTGAGTTCGAGCCCCACGTCGGTCTCTGTGCTGACAGCTCAGAGCCTAGAGCCTGCTTTTAATTCTGTGTCTCTCTCTCTCTCTCTCTCTGCCCCTCCCCCACTCATGCTGTGTCTCTCTCTGTCAAAAATAAACAGTAAAAAAAATTTAAAAAAATATGTTGAGTGAAATTCATAATAATGAAATATGAAAATGACAGTAACATATATTTATATCTCCCTTTCTTATGTATATTATTCTGAGAATGTGCACTTAAATTATCTCCTCTTATGATTACATTTCTATTATGATGTAAGCAGGATAGGTGTTGTTATCCTTGTTTTGTACCCATGGAATTGCAGATACAAGAGAGTTCAAAGTCAGTAAGTACTCAAGTACTTACATTATGCCAAATGCTGGGCTTATTTCTCTATTTACAGTATTAAATCCATATAATAACTGCATTCTCATTTTATAGTTGAATAAATAAAAACTCAGAAAGGCTAATGAGTTGGCCAGGTTCACACAGCTAGCAAGTAGCAAAATAGGACTTGTTTCACCAAAGTGTGTGCTGTCTACTCACTGCTGTTCCACCTTGCTACTTAACTAGAAATCAGTAAAACTAGGATTAGAAGTCAGATCTCCTGTATTGGCCCAGGGCTTTTTTTTTTTCCTTCTCCTCTATAGCACCTTACTGAGAACACTTTTACATTACAGATTAAACTCACAGATACTGCCACTGAATGGCATTTTTTTAAAAAAAATTTAATGTTTATTTTCACAGAGAGTGTATGCGAGCAGGGGAGGGGCGGAGAGAGGGAGAGAGAATCCCAAGCAGGCTCTGGGCTGCCAGCACAGAGCCAGTGGGGCTCAAATTTACAAATTCTGAAATAATGACCTGAGCTGAAGTCAAGGGTCGAATGCTTAATTGACCAAGCCATCCAGGCACCCCGGCATTTTTAAGCTCTGGATGAATAATGCAAACAGGGTTAAAACTGCAACCGTTCAGGGACACCTGGGTGGCTTAGTCAGTTAAGCATCCGACTTCAGCTCAGGTCATGATCTCGTGGTTTGTGAGTTCTAGCCCTGCATCGGGCTGTGTGCTGACAGCTCAAAGCCTGGAGCCTGCTTTGGATTTTGTCTCCTTCTCTCT